CCCTGGCAACCCACTCCCGAAACATTTGCCTTGAAAACTGCAAGGACTCATCCAAGCAGTCACTGCAGAGTTGGTAACGACTGAGCGCAGATAAAAAAAAAAAAATAGCTGTTAGAAACTGTCTGGTTCCTCTTCCATGCTATTAAATGTTAGCCGCTAAATGCTTTAGGATTTTCTTGCAATTTCTAAAATTTTCTCTTATATTTATTGTATCATATGCTGGTCTTTTATTGCGTTTGGTCTTGGACCATGAATACATTTTGATTCATTGATTGAAATGAGGCAGGGGAATTAATCTGTGGTCATATTTTCTTTCTGGAAAGGCTTCTCCCACAAAGCAGGACTCATTTAATGGTGCTGGCTTGTTGTCTGTTCTGTTGTTTTTATGCCTTAATTTGTTTTTATTTTTTCAGAATGTTCCACTATTTCAACACTGAAACATATTTTGGCATATTTTGGCTTTTATGCCTCTTGCATTTTCCCCAGAGGTTAGATTCATAATATTTCTAGATAAATATATTTTATAACTCAGCCTGGGCCTTGGTATAGAATCACATATTTGCATCAAAACAGCACTTTTTAAAAAAATGGCTAGGCTTTTTGAATTCAAAGAAAGTTCATATTCTACTTTTTTTTTTAGGTGATGGAATATGAAAACAGAATCCGAGCTTACTCCACTCCAGATAAAATCTTTCGATACTTTGCCACATTGAAAATAATCAATGAGCATGGCGATTCAGAAGTATTTATGACCCCACAAGATTTTGTGCGATCTATAACACCGAATGAAAAGCAACCAGAAAGTAAGTGGCCGTGAATACAATGATGGAAAGTAGATGCTGCTAGGCAGACCAGAAATCTTGGTTATTTCCATCTTTGTAAAAGCTAATTGATTTACTTAGATTGATTTCCTTAGTTGTACGACTTAATACCAGTTACCATTTTTCAGTCTTGGTTTCTTTACCTCCCATCTTGTTTTTAATGTTCTCCAGCACATGGTTTTTAAAAATTATTGAGATAATCTTAAGAATGGACTAAAACAGCTGTATAAACACTTTTATTGCTGCCAAGATCTAGCCAACATATTGTAAAAATAATGTGGGTAACTGGCATTGAGGTTTTTTTTCAGGTACATTACTTTTTGTGAGCATGAAGCTTTATAACAGCCTTCTCCGACTTGGTTTCTGCCATATTTGTTAGACTGTCATTCCCAGTCTACCTAGTTTTGTGGTAGGGAGCTGTAGGATTATGTGAGATATTCATACATACATCATTCTGAATCAGTCCACTGCGGGATGAAGGTCTTCATTGAAGGTCATAGACTGTAACTACCAGGGTGGTACAGTGCAGCACAATATCATATCATATGAACCAATATTGCATTTTGAGCACCCCATTTCCAAAAAATTAGTTTCTTCCTGAAAGGAAGATGACCAATAGACATGAAATAATAATTGTAATAGTTGTATGAATTGCTGAATTTATTGTAACTTTAAATCTATAGCAATGTGGTATATAGATTCCGAAATGATCATTTAATGACATTTATAGACTGCTGATCTCATTTCCTGTCTTAAACTATTCAATATTTAATTTAATATATTCTTACACATGCTTATCAGTAATTATTATAGGCTTGCTATTTTTGTAAAGAATATATTAACTGCTCTGAAGAAACACTTAGGGCTACTGGCATCAAAATATTTTGAAGAAATTGCCATTCTATGCTTTATGGCTAATAGCATTTATTTCTACTAACTGATCTAAAGTATATATTCCAGCAAAGGTTTGAATTCCCCCTTCCCACTTAAATTAGTTTATGGAGTTGTCAAGCACACACCATGTTTCACTAGTAGCTAATACAGGAGGGGCAAATTCCATACTTTCCAAAGACAGGTTTCTAGTTGACAAAACATTCCATTCATTGAGCTAAGAAAGAAGAGATAACATTAAGGTATAAATCCTAAATCCAACAAATTAAAACCTCTTTCTCTGACTGACAATGGAAGTATCCCCAATAAAAAAATAAAAGGGAGAATTTCCCCAAGTAAACCTCAGAAGCAGTTCATTAAATTTCTGAAAAAAATATCTCAGAATCATGTAGGAATGCTATTTACGCTCTAAATTGCCTATGGCAAATTTTACCCCAGTTTCGATTTCAGTTTAAACAAGGGCCATCTATCCAAATCTGTTGCTATGTCTACTTTAAATGTGGTTTCATCAGCTTAACTCAGGATACGTTATTGCCTCCAAATGTTATCACATCGTTCACACATACACACTTAGTAACTCCCAAAGAGATTTTTGCTAATTTAAGCAAATTAATATTATACTCAGAAAGTGTCAGAAACCATAAATTAATGTTATTAAGATTGGGATTTATCAGTAAATAACAATATGTGGTCTATAGATAAGACTACAGTGGTTTCCATGCTTCTTCTTCGAAGGTAAGGGAAAGTAGTTATTCAGAGGTATTTTCATTAAGCAAAACGTTTTGTAACCTCTTAGTGGCAACTACTGTTTACCTTTCTATGAGAAAAGAAGGATACAGGTTTTCTGTGAAGACCAGCCTTTCTGAAGCTTTGATTCCATCCAGGTGTGTGGAACTACAGCTATTTCCAGCTGCATGGTTAACAGTTATGGTAGTTGCATGATGACAAGTGTGCAACTGAGACAGGCATGTAGAAGATAACATGGTGAACCAAGAAAAAAAGGCATATCTAGGTATGGGTGATACTGTTAGGAGGAGGAGGAGTAATTAAAGACAAAGGCTTTATTATACAAACCTGTAAATACATGACCAGTTATAAAATTAAGCTACTATACAGTAAGATTATTTTCCTGCATTTTTCATGTTTGATTCGATGCTTAAAGCTTAAGTGATGCATTTTCTAACTGTCAAAATGTCATTTTCAAGATACAGAATACTATATAAACTTGCTTGTTTTTTCCCCCAGACTTAGGCCTTGATCAGTTTGTGGTGAAACGCTATGACGGGAAGGTGAGATTTCTAAACTTTTGGGTGCATGTTAATTGTATTTTTAACAATGGGGGGGAGGGGGGAGG